GGGGGCCAAGCCGCGCTAGGATCTGGGACTGGAGGAGCAACTGGAGGCCAGGCTGCACTCGGAGCTGGGGCAGCAGCTGCGGCGGCAGCAGCTGCAAGCGCTGGAGCTGGGGCAGCAGCTGCAGGCGCTGGAGCCGGGGCAGGAGCATCTGGTGGCCAGGCCGCACTCGGGACAGGAGTGGGAGGACAAGCAGCGCTCGGCGCCGGTGGGGCCGTCACCCCATGGCCAGTAAGTGCAGATAAGTCTCTTTATCCCTGCCTTACCTTTGTCAGCATATGTGCTGTATAATAATAAAAAAAGAGAAAAAAAACAACATATATATATATATATATATATATATATATATATATATATATATATATATATTTACACCGAGACTGAATTTGCCAGTAATCAATGCCATCTCTTGCAGCCTCTTATGCCCTACCAATTCGCTTATGAAGTTAAGGACGACGCAACCACCAATTACCATAACCGAGTTGAATTTGTCGAAAATGGAGTTCTTCAGGGAAGTTTCAGCCTTCTTTCCTCAGACGGCGTTGTGCGCACCTACATCTATTCTGACGATGGCACTTCTGGATTTAAGGTTCGGGGAAAAACATTTTTGTAATGTCATTTTTTTTATATTTTTAGTAGTGATAATGCCAGTTTTAACTATTAGAACTGCAGCAACAACTTAGTGGCACTGATAGTTGAGACAATTTGCATGAGTACTAGCAATAGCAGAAGTAGCTGGACCAGTGACAATATAACTTTCACCCTTATTATTAATACCTACATGAGCATTCAGTTTAAATCGATTGTTACTAAGAAAACGGATTATGAATGAACGCAAATAACAAATTCTGTCAGTTCAAACATTCAATAAGCTAACTGTTAACCTACGTCGATCACAGGTTACCTCCCACGAGATCCCGACAGACATCGTTGTAGCTGGATCGGGCTTGCCAGGAGACCCTAAGGCTGCTGGTGGTGCAGGCGCTAGTGCTGGTGCTAGTGCCTCTGCAAGCGCATCGGCCGGAGCAAGTGGAGGTGCAGGCGCTGCCGGAGCTGCTTCTGCTGCTGGTGCAGCTGGATCAGCAGGTTTTGGAGCAGGTGCTGCAGCAGCTGGCGCAGCAGGATCAGCAGGATTCGGAGCCGGTGGAGCGGCAGCTGGCGCAGCTGGATCAGCAGGATTTGGGTCCGGTGGAGCAGGAGGATTCGGAGCCGGTGGAGCAGCAGCTGGTGCAGCTGGATCAGCAGGATTCGGAGCTGGTGGAGCCGGTGGAGCGGCAGCTGGCGCAGCTGGATCAGCAGGTTTCGGAGCTGGTGGAGCCGGTGGAGCAGCAGCTGGCGCAGCTGGATCAGCAGGATTTGGGTCCGGTGGAGCAGGTGGATTCGGAGCCGGTGGAGCAGCAGCTGGTGCAGCTGGATCAGCAGGATTCGGAGCTGGTGGAGCCGGTGGAGCGGCAGCTGGCGCAGCTGGATCAGCAGGTTTCGGAGCTGGCGGAGCCGGTGGAGCAGCAGCTGGTGCAGCTGGATCAGCAGGATTTGGGGCCGGTGGAGCAGGAGGATTCGGAGCCGGTGGAGCGGCAGCTGGCGCAGCTGGATCAGCAGGTTTCGGAGCTGGTGGAGCCGGTGGAGCGGCAGCTGGCGCAGCTGGGTCAGCAGGTTTCGGAGCCGGTGGAGCGGCAGCTGGCGCAGCTGGATCAGCAGGATTCGGAGCTGGTGGAGCCGGTGGAGCGGCAGCTGGCGCAGCTGGATCAGCAGGATTTGGTGCCGGTGGAGCAGCAGCTGGTGCAGCTGGATCAGCAGGATTCGGAGCCGGTGGAGCCGCAGCTGGCGCAGCTGGATCAGCAGGTTTCGGAGCTGGTGGAGCCGGTGGAGCGGCAGCTGGCGCAGCTGGATCAGCAGGATTTGGTGCCGGTGGAGCAGCAGCTGGTGCAGCTGGATCAGCAGGATTCGGAGCCGGTGGAGCCGCAGCTGGCGCAGCTGGATCAGCAGGTTTCGGAGCTGGTGGAGCCGGTGGAGCGGCAGCTGGCGCAGCTGGATCAGCAGGATTCGGAGCCGGTGGAGCAGCAGCTGGCGCAGCTGGATCAGCAGGATTCGGAGCCGGTGGAGCAGGAGGATTTGGGGCCGGTGGAGCAGCAGCTGGTGCAGCTGGATCAGCAGGATTCGGAGCCGGTGGAGCAGCAGCTGGCGCAGCTGGATCAGCAGGATTTGGGTCCGGTGGAGCAGGAGGATTTGGGGCCGGTGGAGCAGGAGGATTTGGGGCCGGTGGAGCAGCAGCTGGTGCAGCTGGATCAGCAGGATTCGGAGCCGGTGGAGCAGCAGCTGGATCAGCAGGATTTGGTGCCGGTGGAGCAGCAGCTGGTGCAGCTGGATCAGCAGGATTCGGAGCCGGTGGAGCGGCAGCTGGATCACCAGGATTTGGGGCCGGTGGAGCAGCAGCTGGCGCAGCTGGATCAGTAGGGTTTGGAACTGGTGGGGCAGCAGCTGGTGGAGCCTCTGGATTTGGAGTTGGTGGAGTGGGAAGTGCCGCAGCTGGTTCATCTGGTTTTGGAGCTGGAGCAGCAGGTGCTGGTTTCGGAAGTGGAGGAGCTACAGTGTCCTCAGGAACTGGATCTGGTGCCACATTATTAACAAGCTTTGGTCCAGGTGCAGCTGGTGCTGTTGGAACATTTGGTAGCGGTGCCCCTAATGTTCCCGTATTTGTGGTACATCCCAATCTCGTTGGAGGGGCCGGCGCAACCCATACAACGACAGGCACTTTTGGCCAGCCAAGTTTTGCTGCTCTTGTAAGTGGCCCTGGACAGGCTGGAGGAGCATCTGTTAGCACCCACAGTGCTGCTGGACAATCTGGCCAGCCCACATCTTTCTTCATCCTCGGAGGAACAGGAGGTGCGGGATTAGGTGCTGGTGCTGCAACTGGAGCTGGGGGAGCTGGTGCTGCAGCAGCTAGTGCTGCTGGATCAGCTGGATTTGGAGCTGGTGGAGCCGGATCTTCTGGCTTTGGAGCTGGTGGAGCAGGTGCTGCATCAGCCAGTGCAGCTGGGTCAGCTGGTTTTGGAGCTGGTGGAGCCGGATCTTCTGGCTTTGGAGCTGGTGGAGCTGGATCTTCTGGCTTTGGAGCTGGTGGAGCAGGTGCTGCATCAGCCAGTGCAGCTGGGTCAGCTGGATTTGGAGCTGGTGGAGCTGGATCATCCGGTTTTGGAGCTGGTGGAGCTGGATCAGCTGGTTTTGGAGCTGGTGGAGCCGGATCTTCTGGCTTTGGAGCTGGATTTGGAGCTGGTGGAGCTGGATCATCCGGTTTTGGAGCTGGTGGAGCTGGATCATCCGGTTTTGGAGCTGGTGGAGCTGGATCAGCTGGTTTTGGAGCTGGTGGGGCAGGTGCTGCATCAGCCAGTGCAGCTGGTTCGGCTGGTTTTGGAGCTGGATCTACAGGCTTTGGAACAGGTGGTTTTGGTACCGGAGGTGCAGCAGCAAGTGCCTCTGGAGCTGCTTCTGCTGGAACATCTGGATTTACTAGCATCGGATTTCCCACTGCATCGGCCCTCACCAGCACCCAAGGCTCTGCATCTGCTGGATCAACTACAGGATTTACTACAGGCGGCGGAAGTTCTACCGTGTCATTCTCTAGTGGGGCTCCAGTAGCTGCTGCCCTCACAAGTACGCCTCATGGTTCTACTTCTGCAGCTTCTGCTGCTTCGTCTGCAGCATCAGCAGGTTCCACTGGTGCAGGATTTGGCGCAAGTGGAGCAAGTGCTGCTGCTGCAGGTTCTGCAGGTGCTAATATTGGGCAGATTTTTTCAGCTCACACAGCTAGAGCTCTCCAGTCAGTACATTCAGCAGCTCAAGCTTCTTCCAGCCCAACAGCATCAGCTCTTGTATCTTCACCTATTGGCATAACAAACCGCCAAGGTGCCTCAGCTGCTGCTAGTGCTGCTTCAAGTGCTGCTTCAGGTGCCGCTTCAGGTGCTGCTTCAAGTGCTGCTGCAGGTGCTGCTTCAAGTTCTGCCTCAGGTGCTGCTTCAAGTTCTGCGTCAGGTGCTGCTTCAAGTATTGGCTCAAGATTTTTAGGTGCAGGTAGTGCAGGTGCTCCTGCATCAGTAACAATAATAAACCGAGGTGCACAATCTGCAGGTGCAGCCTCAGGGGCAGCTTCAGCCTCAAGTGGAGGAGCAGGTTCATTTGGCCCATCTTTCACGGTTTTCTCACCTGGCAGTGGTGGAGCTTCAGCAGCTTCTGCATCTGGTGCCGGTGCAACATTTGGCACCCAGTCTTCAGGTGCAGCATCAGGAGCAGCTTCAGCCTCAAGTGCAGGAGCAGGCTCATTTGGCCCATCTTTCACAGTTTTTTCTCCTGGTAGCAGTGGCGCTGCAGCCGCTTCTGCATCTGGCTCTGGCTCAACGTTTGGCACAAGTGGTATTCAGGCAGTTCCAGTATTTCTCCTGAATCAGCAATCATTAGGAAACTTTGCCCCCACTGGCGGAGCACAATTCTTCACCACTGGTGATGCTGGAGCACCCTTCACAACAACTGTATTCAACAGTGGTCCATCACAAGGAAACCCTTCAATTGGTGCTGCTATTACTGTGGGTAGCAGTTCACCGGTGATTGCCAGCTCCCAAGGTGGTAACGTCCTGGGAACGACGAGACACCAGACAGATCTTCAAGGCCACAGCATCTTCGTCAACAATCCCACTTCTTTCGCTCAAGTTCACACCAAACCAGCAGGCAGCGCAGGAAACGCTCTTCCTGGTTCTCATGTTAAGTCGCAAGGCTAGGACAAACATCTGATAAGAATGCATCGTATAGCTTTTCAAAAATATATTTCATTGTTGCGGAAGTAGGGAGTGGCTTTAAATAGAATGCGTGTTTATAAGAGAAATATATTGAATGCGTTGTTTTTGTTATCGTATATAGTGCTATTATGTAATATATCTCTATTAGTCTGTTAATCAGTTTTATGTGAATGTGAATTTTATGTGTATATAGAAATATATAAATGAAATAAGCAATTGAATGTATTTCTTTCCTTATTGTACACATACACGAACACACACGTTGCCACACGAAAACATACACACACACGCACACATATACATATACACAAATATATATAACAATTATATATATACACATGTGTGTGTGTGTGTGGGACACATATGCATAAAACTGCAGCTACATTTACAAGTACTTAAACATACACATGTGCAATAATATGTACATACAGATATACGAATCTTTATCTTCCGCCCTTACCTCATTTCCTCTCGAAATTGTCTCTGCCAGAAAAGCTGTTCAAATCTTGTCTGAAACGTTTTCTAGGCGCAATCTCAAACAGTTTCTTTGGTGTTGGAGCCACGTATAAAACGATCAAACAAAGATATTTCAAACAAATTTTTCTATATTAATCAAGGTGATGTATCGTCGATATATATATATATATATATATATATATATATATATATATATATATATATATACATATATATATACATATATATATATATATATATATATATATATATATATATATATATATATATATATATATATATACTACTGCACAAAAGCGCAAATAAACCCGTTCATTTTAATAGACCCTGCCCTGATATGTGTGAGACCCTGTCGTCCGATTTTTTTTACATTTTTTATGATGTACCTGAGCAACGCATATATAAGGCATAAATGCAGAAAAAGAGGGATTAAAAATATTTTTTAGGTAAATATATGGCCTTGTTTCAAAATACAGCAATGCTAATTTGTTACAAGAGACCAACAAAATAATAATTAATCATCAAACTCTTTTGATAATCATAGTGCAGGATATTAATACTTACCTATATATGCAAGGTAGTTTTGCATATATATTATAGGCCTTTTTCGTAACATTTCCGAAACTCCTAACACTTTGATACACTTTAATACGCGTTTGCCCTCTACGCGTACGTTATTGGAACCTGTTGAAACATCTTTTCATTTTGTATCAGTGTATCCTTTTAATTCGATGCACCTTTTCAGCAGAACATCAAATACATGTCCACTGTATACGGGTAAGATTTGAAGTTAGCCATGACGGTTTCTGGAATGACGTAGTAAGAATGTTCAAAGTGTTCGAGTCATATGACGTGGTATTGGCTTCGGTGGAATAAACGTATTCAAAATCATTATGTATGTCGATGATATAACCTTACAAGTTCAATAAATATCAAAGGAAATGCTGTGTATCTTGGTTTGCTGATATACTTCAATCAATAAATCAATCAAATGTCCATGATCATTGGAATTACCCAGTTGTCTGATTTGGACGCGGGACTCACTCGCGCTGGATACCTTATAAATATTCCACTTTTCATATGAAGAACGATGGATGTTCTGAAGAAAAAATGTTTCGACTGAATCTGAAAAATACAGTATATATATTTATCATACATATAAGAGGAACTCGCGAAGATTTCGAAACGTTATGATTTATATTAATTTCTTACTGTTGCTGTTTTCCTTTTCATAAATATATATATATATATATATATATATATATATATATATACATATAAATATATATATATATATATATATATATATATATATATATATATATAATATATATATATATATATATATATATATATATATATATATAAATGTATATATATTTGCATATACATTTTCTTTACAGATATATATATATATATATATATATATATATATATATATATATATATATATATATATATATATATTATATATATATATATATATATATATATATATATATATATATATATATATATATATATATAACACAAGCTGCAAAAAAAATGTGCAAGTAAAATACACAGTAAAAGGTCAAATAACCTCCACAGATGTTGTTTGAATTTCTTTCTGTGATTTTATACTTTGTCTGGATACATTAACGAAAAGAAAGTAAGGGTAATAATGCATTCCATAAAAAAACCGTACTCTGTCATTTCTTATGAATAATAGGTATTTTTCATCTCGGATAGGAGTGTAACACTGGCTTCCTCCTAATCCACCCCTAATATATATGTATATGTATATGTGTGTGTGTGTGTGTTTGCGCGCGTATGTATATGTATGCATATATGCATATAAACATATATACATATATATACATACATATATCTCTTTCTCTTTCTCTACACACACACACACACACATATATATAGATTATTACAATCAAGTTCCTTGCTCAAATAAATCTCTCTTAATGGAGAGTTGCTTTTACTCAACTGGGGGATTAATCAAAACGGGTACAGAGCAACTTAATTGTAAACCTCTAAAGGTGAGTTCAAATCTTTAGCATTCTTATCAAAAGATAATTATAATCTTTCAATAGTCTAGTGATTTCTAATTTGTTATCAACCTTCACTTATTTAACATTAAATCATGGTATTTTTAATCACCATTGAATAAATCAAAGAATGCAACAAAAGTGTGGAAATATAAAACACTAGTAGAAGCTTACGTTGTATTACAAGGAAGTTAATTACACGCTGGCAACTGCCAACAAGAATTATAATACAAAATGAATGAGAAACATCTTTTAACCTTCACTTGACACGATTCAAATAATTGGGCAGCTCAATTTCTCGGTAGAAACGATATAAAAGACAACGTCATAGCTGCACCAAAATAAAAGGAAATTACCTCTGGTTCCGATACATCACTCTGGGCATCATCCAAACACCAGTCACCTTTTAGACACCAACTTAATAGAATATGCAATTCCAAATACTCAATATTATATATTATATAGCATAACCATGTTGGAACAAGGCTTTACCGAGTTAAACAAACTTACGGCGAAATTAAAGCCCAAAAAACAAAATACCGCCTCCACCAAGTTCCAGTTCGAGTCCGCTGGGTCAAAACTATTTACCTTTGACAACTTTTTCCATTATGATAATATATAATTTCTAAGCTTGTTGTGATTATCCTTATCAATGATAATTATTAGATTCTTCCAAAAAAAAAAAAAACTGCACAGTTAATGCATATTTCTGTTCATTACTAACACAATGCAAGATCCATAGGAAAAGGCAAACTCAAAGGATTCCTTTACTTGAGAAATCGATTATAAAACTACTCTATTTAACTATATATATATATATATATATATATATATATATATATATATATATATATATATATATATATATATAAATATATATATATATATATATATATATATATATATATATATATATATATATATATATATACATACATATATATCACTGACTATAGAACAAGACTATCACGATCAAAGGAATCTTACAGCCACGCAGATGAAGTTGCACAAGTCACCCCTTTGAAACAAAAATCAAAACCCCCCAAAGAAAATGGAAGGTCATGGTAGAAACATTAACTTCGCAAAATTATGTTCAACCCCCCAACCTCACTCACTCACTCACTCTCTCTCTCTCTCTATCTATCTATCTGCTGTCTGTATTGATGCACATACAAGTATTGGATAAACAGACTTTCAAACACACACATATAAGTGTCATTTCCAATAATACCCTTCCCCCCCATTTAATTAACGTAACTATGAAAACACCTTTATTTTGATTTATTCTACCACTTCTGACACTAAATTTTACCAATCGTAGCACATTTATTATCAATAATAATGACTACAGTAACTATGATTCTAACAATGATATTGACGATGATGCTGAATGACATGATGTAACTGAAATAATTGTGATACGAGTGATAATGTTAATTACTGTTGTAGGTTTCCATTATTTTATTTTGGTAGGAAAGGAATAAAGGTCTTTTAAATCAAATCCTTTCTTCTGTTATCATTGTTTACATTGTATCATTATTATTGCTTTATAGATTCATTGATCATTTTTGTCACGAGGTACAAAATTGCAACGTACAATATCACAAACTACAGAACTTGACAACTACGATCTAAGGAATCTTACAGCCACGCAAATTAAGTTGCACAAGTCATCCCTTTAAAAACCAAAATCAAAACCCAAAGAAAATGGAAGGTCATGGTAGAAATTTTTATTTCCTAAATTTGTGTTCAACTCTCCCTTCCCCCCTCTACCCACTCTTTCTGTTGTCTGAGTTAATATGCATACAAGTATTAAATAAAAAGACTCAAACACACACACACACACACACACACACACACACACACACACACACACACACACACACACACACACACACACACACACACACACACACACATACACACGCACGCACATATTGTAAGTGAAGCAACCCAATTAACAAGAAAAGGCGAATAAAAATGTTTTAAAAAAATATATCTTTAAAGTTGAATACTTAGACGAGTATTGGAACTGGCTTGTTTACTTCAACGGGAGCTGTGTCACTGATCTCAAAAAAAAGACTGGCTCGAGCAACCTATTGTCTCTGATTCGCGGATTTTGAAGCTCGCGATTTTCCACCGGCGCCATATTGGAGGGCCCTACTGCGGTATTGTAATAACTGTGCGGAGAAGTGGTATCAAGTGTAAACGATGGGGAAGCAAGGTATAGAATGTGTTTCTTATGGTTGCAATAAGTTAAAGAAGAAAATTACGTACGAAGTGATAGCGAGGGTAGTGAAGATGAAGAGTCTGTGAAAAAAAAAACATTACCAAGAACATTCCACAGGTGTGATAGGCCTGCATATTGCCTTGCGTGATTTTACTACAATTGTATTATCATCTATGATTTCTTGTATAATGTAGAGAACAAAATAAAGTGGTTTATTTTTTTGAGATCTGTGATGATAAAACATTGGTTGGGTGGGCAAAAGAGTATTTGATAAACATTCAAAAAAGATTCTTCCTAGATTTTTGGCAGGTTATGTTTGCACTTGCATCTCAAAAAAAAAAAAAAAAAAAAAAAAAAAAAAAAAAAAAAAAAAAAAAAAAAAAAAAAAAAAAAATATATATATATATATATATATATATATATATATATATATATATATATTAACAACAGCTAGTTAGTATGGTTGCTTC